TTATCACTTTTCACAGTGGCTCAATTGCCACTCCCGATTATGAAAAATTTGATTTGGAGGAACACCGTCATCACTCCCAACGTGGTTAAACGTGCCCTGGAAAGATCACATTTCAGACTGACTGAAGGTAGGTCTTGCAATAAGATTTCATATTTTTCAGTAAATATTAGAGTTGGTTTACAATTATTTGTTTTTAGTAAAGTTGTTTGACAAACAATTGGTAAAATGGGTGTTTTACACTAATCATTGAGGGTTGTCCAACGAGCCGTATTTTTTCACATCTGTTAACGTGATTATGCGGTCTGGCTTTATTTTACAGTGATGGATGATTTCGATGAGGGTATGAGAGTTTGAATTTTCATTTCTGCACGTAGTTTTGTTTCCTACCTCTGACTGGCAATCACGATACGACTTATTGTTTATGGTTACTGCAATAGTATTTCCTATCTGAGATCACGCATTACTGTTCCATGTAGGTTGTTACTGCGATTGGATCGGATGCTTTGGAAGACATCTTACTCCAGTTCTCTTTCGACAAATTAAAGATTTCCAAAAGATGAATCACTTTCCTGGTTCCTTCGAGTTAGGTCGTAAAGACCTTCTCACAATAAATCTATCTAAAATGCGCACTCGATTTGGCAGTGAAAATTTTAGCTTCTACCCAACAACATTTATTTTACCTCGAGAATTCTCCAGGTTGAAAGATTCATGGAAACAGGGTTTGGACCATAGTCCGCCTCGTAACAAAAAACGCGGCTTTCCCACGTGGATAATCAAACCAGTAACGTAATAATTGTTTGATGAGCAAACATCTCTTGATGGTGCATCTATTGTGCAGCCTTTGAAACTTACTTTGATATGTGTATATGAATGTTAGTTGTGTACAAGATGAGTCTCCTAGGTGTTTATAAAGTCGTTTTCCGATGCAACAAAGATACACTGTCAATCTGTTAGCCTTTAAATTACATACCTATAACTGATAAAATTTGCTTAATTCCTCGAACCATCTACTAGGCGATGGCCATAATGGAGCACTTATTAACATTCATTCTAGCCCGCCAGTGCAAGAGGGATGGGCATATACCTGGCTAACCGGTTAACTGAAGTTCCTAGACGAAAGAAGTCGATTGCCCAGGTCTACATCTCTCATCCCTATCTGATTGGTGGAAATAAGTTTGACCTGCGGTTATATGTCTACATGACCAGTGTGGATCCGCTACGCCTCTACATCCACAAGAACGGCCTCGTCCGGTTCGCCTCGCAAAAGTGCGCACCCCATACCGTTGATGTAGGCGGATTTTCCATGGCTTTGTGCTGAATTTCACAGCGCATCGTAGCTTGCTAAACGAGGGTCGGCTGCAACGTAGTCTTGGCAACTAAGACTGGTCTATCAATGGGTGTGATTATGCGATTTTATCAGTTCTTGCATCTTGTTATTTATTAAAAATATGTTTGTATTATGCGCCTGAAATTATATGACCGAGCACGAAATAAATTGCAAAGGTTAAAAGTTCATGTAGTTGCTCTCCAATTATGCTGCTGTCGTCATGCCCAATTCACTTTCTCGACCCCGCATGAATAAAGGACGGTAGACAATAATACTATCTGCTATTCATTTATAAACAAACCACAGCATCAGAATTGTTGGGAAAATTTAACATGAGTCGCAAATCTTTCTTGTGATTCTTCAAGTTAATGCCTTTGTTTGAAATGAAAAAATCCCCAATTCAATACGAACAAATGCTGGAAACCAAATCTACCGTTTTGAAACTTCTACTGTGATTTCTAAATCGCTAAACTAAAACTATAAGTAGGATTTACGCCTCTTCAATGCAAATGCTTCCTTTGGTTCTGCAGATATTCAAATTCTCAAGAACAAGTTAACAACCGATTCGTACACCTAACGAATTATTCGGTGAACAAGAGGAATACGCAATACTACCATTGTGACGGCTTTACCCAAAAAACATCTCATAAGTGGTAGGTCGTGAGGAAACCTGCTTTTAATTTTGATTTCTGTTTCTAGCGCCAAGTCAAATTGAGTAAAGGATGTAGGCCTTATTCATTGAGTTGTCAGGAATAAAATCACATATAAATCTATCAACCACACGGTTTAGGCGGCTTCGTGAATCTAACACTTTACACCTTCATTAAAATTCATTGTAAAATTCCTTTTTACTTTCAATCGTCCCACGTAAACTTAAAAATATCACGTAAACATATTAGAAAATACAAGCATTTCAGCTAGAATGGGATCAGTAGGTTGCATTGAAATCACCTCCAAAAGTTTTTGTTGTGTCTAAGCTAAGCAATGCGTAACCTCACCGATACTCAGTTTATTATAACATGTCTCGATTTTCCAAGGCCTTTGGAGGACTTGTGGCGGCACCTAGAGGAACGAGGACGGGATACACGAAAGCTGTGGGGAGAAATAAAGTTGATAGTCTTCAAGACGATGGCGTCTGCGGTGTCCAAGATGGCGAGTCATGTGCTCCATCACGTTGCTCGTCGCGAGAGTGTTCACGAAATTTTTGGCTTTGACATTCTTCTCGACTCAGAACTCCGACCCTGGCTCTTGGAGGTCAATATCTCGCCAAGGTTGAGTTCCTTGTTTGGTGATGATTTAATTTCAGTTAAAAGCGAAAGCAAATTTTGGAGTGATTAGTGAGAATGCACTCTTGTAGTAATAGGCTTTCGAATAGAAAGGTGAAAAGCTTTGTAATCTGTTTTCAGTGCACGTAATGGGCAAAATATCACACCCTTATGCCATGTAGTCGTATTGATCTGATCTCGCAGAAATTTTAAACTTAACTTCTCTACTCTATACGCTTTTTTCCTTGCGGTAAAACTTTTACTAAGAAAAGTGGTATACCTCAAGTCTCTAAGACTGTACTTGTTCACATGAACAGTAATGTATGATCAGTGAATGTTCCACATCTTAAGTATGTCTGGGCGGTGCGGTTCGATAAGTCCAAATTGCACAGACTCCATCATTTACTAAAAAACTTAGCATTAGGTGTTTAATTTCTTCACCGTTCTTATTGGATAAGTGGGGTGGATGAAATATATATTTGGCGAAGGAAGTCATTACGAGGGTAGAATATGTATTGTTAACAGGCACAAAGGATTGGGCTACCGGCACGGCCCGAAGATTAGACCATCCATAAGAGATACGATGGCCGAGCCCTTAGCGAGCCTGTTATCAACACTGATTATTAAACGGATGACGTATTACATAGCCCCTCTCTTCCTTGGAGCGTCGTCCCTTGCT